CAGCGAGACCCCCGAATACTCTGCGTAGCGCGACTAGGTTGAGGGGCGGATATAAGAAGTCCATGGATTCAAGGCATCTCAACCAGATCCATGTTCACCAAGAGCCAGTCCTGTCCAATCATGGACTGGGGGTTCCAATTCAAACCTCACGATCAGTGAGCAATTGGGTTCCAGTTCAAACCTCACAATCAGTGAGTAATTCTCCTCAAATCTTTATAACAGATTTGAGAGAGTTCACATCGAGAGAAAGATCGATGCAACAAGTCATTCGTTCATTCCAATGTGAACGGCTGATTCCTACGATCCTCTCGGGATGTCAATGCTGCTCATATGCGGCCCAACTGCTGGTGTTCAACCAATTTACGAACATTGCTTTACCCAACCAACGACGGCGTTCACATAAGAAGAATACTTCTGAGGATGAATACCTTAGAGTCACTTCTAACATGATCGGCAGAGGGAGATCATCAGTTCCTAGTTCCGATGAGACACCCAGACTCGAACAGGAGTCATTCCTCCTATCAACTATCGGAGTTTAGCTAGAAGAACTAATTTCGATGATGAACACTCAGCCATTGCGGAGTCCCAATCATCAAGCTCTTTCGTTGGGCATGAGAACTTTGTCCATATGGCAGAACATTCTGAAGATCTTGCAAAGAGGGTTGCTGAGCAAGAGGCCATGCTCAAATCACAGCAGAAGATCCTCGATGAACTCCTGGCCCTGTTGACTCAACTTGTCGCATACAAGGCTAAATCTCAGAAGACAGATTCGCCACCTAGACAAGAATCCTCCCGGAGAGGAAAAACTTCTTCATCCCGACCTCACACAAGCAAAGGGAAGGAAAAAGTGGTTGATGACACGGCTTCTGACCAAGAAGCCCACAACCTAGAATCTTCCTCTGATGAAGGAATAGAGACGGAGAACGAACAGAATCTCCAGTCTGCCAAAATGGAAGAATTGGAAGCCCGCCTCAATGTCATTGCCAACAGAAGCGAGCTCCAAGACGAGGGAGTTATCAGACCCTATCCTACCGAATGGGATGCAGCCCCTTATCCTCCAAAATTCGAAGTCCCGACGCTACAAACTTTTGACGGCACGGGATCACCGAACCAACATATCTATCATTTCAAGTCACAGACTGGGAATGTGATATCAAACGACGCCATACTGGCTCGATTATTCATTGGCACCCTCAAGGGAGTTGCCTTTGAATGGTTTAGAAAATTGCCTGCCGGATGTATCCAAAAGTGGGCAGATCTAGAGAGACTCTTCCTGTCGAGATTCTTTGAAGAGGATACGGAAGTCTCCATCCATACCCTTCTCGCCACTAAGCAGAAGAAGAGGGAGTCCGTCAAAGCCTTCGTCAAAAGGTTTCGAAATATGGCTCTGCGATGTCCGACAGGTATGACACAGTCTACCCTAGTGCAGACCTGTCGGCACAATTTGCAAACCGAACTCCTAGCCCGAATCGGAGTTGCAAAATGTCATTCTTAGAGACAACTAATCTCTCAAGGCGAACAGACTCAAAAGAATATTGCCTGGATCAAAGCTGAAGAACAAAGTAGGCAGGATCAACCTGAGCAATCAGACCAAGCTCAACCTTCACCTGAGCAATCGGACCAAGCACAATCTTCTCAGTCAAAAGAAGAAGATACCACGACCACTGAAGCCAATCCTCTTCAGTAGGATGGTAGGTCCATCAAAACTATCACGTTAATGATCACCTCTGATAGTCATTTTCCTCCAAATTCCCCCACCAATTCTCTTCAAGTAGGATGGCGGGTCCACCAAAACTATCACGTTAACCGTCACCTCTGATAGTCATTTTCCTCTAAATCCCCCCACCAATCCTCTTCAAGTAGGATGGCGGGTCCACCAAAACTATCACGTTAACCGTCACCTCTGATAGTCATTTTCCTCCATATTCCTCCACCAATCCTCTTCAAGTAGGATGGCGGGTCCACAAAACTATCACGTTAACAGTTACCTCTGATAGTCAAACTCATCAGATAATGGCCTACCAAGTGATGTGCCTCTATTCCGACTTCATGGATAGTGCCCCACTAGGTGATGTGCCTTGTCTACCTCTTTTTATTCCCCTGCTAAGTCTTAATCAAGACTGGGGGTTGGTTACTTGGAATCCATTGGATTAAGAGTAATAAATCTTTCACATCGTCAAGTTAACATTACACTTCTGACGATCATCACCCCACAGAGTATGAATGCAGCTTGCATCACTCCAAATTTGTCACGTTAACAATACACCTCTGACAATCAACTTATCAATCCTTTTCAATAGGATGATAGGTCATCAAAATTGCTCAAATCGTAATCTTCCCCAGCAAGACACTAAGTCTTCAAAATCTTGTTCAAATCACAAGCATCAAAATTCATCAATTCTGATGATAAACTCACCTAGCAAGTTTCCCCAGCGAGACGCTAGTCCCCAAAATCTTGTTCAAATCCACTTATCAATCCTCTTCAATAGGATGATAAGTCCACAAAGTTGCTCCAATCGCAACACATTCTTGTCACGTTAACATCATACCTCTGACAACCTACTTATCAATCCTCTTCAATAGGATGATAAGTCCACAAAGTTGCTCCAATCGCAACACAAATCTTGTCACGTTAACATCAAACACCTCTGACAAAACCCACTTATCAATCCTCATTAATAGGATGATAAGTCCACAAAGTTGCTCCGATCGCAACAAATTCCCGTCACGTTAATATCACACCTCTGACAACCCACTTATCAATCCTCTTCAATAGGATGGTTAACACTAAACCTCTGACAAAACTCACTTATCAATCCTCGTCAATAGGATGATAAGTCCACAAAGTTGCTCCAATCGCAACACAAATCTTGTCACGTTAACATCATACCTCTGACAACCCACTTATCAATCCTCTTCAATAGGATGATAAGTCCACAAAGTTGCTCTGATCGTAACACAATCTTGTCACGTTAACACCAAACCTCTGACATTCCACTTATCAATCCTCTTCAATAGGATGATAAGTCCACAAAGTTTCTCCTATCGCAACACAATCCTGTCACGTTAATATCACACCTCTGACAACCCAATTATCAATCCTCTTCAATAGGATGATAAGCCCACAAAGTTGCTCCGATCGCAACACAATCCTGTCACGTTAACACCAAACCTCTGACAAATCAACTTATCAATCCTCGTCAATAGGATGATAAGTCCACAAAGTTGCTCCCATCGCAACACAATCCTGTCACGTTAACACCATACCTCTGACAAATCAACTTATCAATTACCTCTGACAACCCACTTATCAATCCTCATCAATGGGATGATAAGTCCACAAAGTTGCTCCAATCGCCAACACAATCCTGTCACGTTAACACCAAACCTCTGACAAATCAACTTATCAATCCTCATCAATAGGATGATAAGTCCACAAAGTTGCTCCTATCGCAACACAATCTTGTCACGTTAATATCAAACACCTCTGACAAAATCAACTTATCGACTCTCGTCAATAGAGCGATAGGTCCTCAAAGTTGCTCCGATCGCAACACTTTCCACTTATCGACTCTCATCAATGGAGCGATAGGTCCATAAAAATATTGTTAGGTTAACATCACACCTCTAACAGTCAAACCCCCAATGAACTTGTTAATCCTTTTTCAACAAGAATAGCAAGTTGTCATTATAAAATCCCCAGTGGATTAGAGATTTTCTGAAATTATCCGAGTGATAATAAAGAAAATTTCTGAATTTCACTCTAAGTGAAAATTCATGCCAAGTTAATATTACACCTCTGGCGCTTCCAACTTTCTTTCAGTGTTTCAAGTAACACAAGAAGAAACAGTGGCAAAGTCTACGGATGAGGCTCAACGTTTGAAAAATCCTTTCAGTGTATGCTCAAGCATTTACTCGAATTGGAAATCATATCTGTTTATTGGGCTGAATTATCTCATGCTTACGAAAATGTTAGTGAAAATTTGTGCTATGTTTGGTTAGTTATGGAATAGAAAGCATTTGGGAAAGAGAAGTGGAGGGAAATGAAATGCATTCATTTTGTGCTCACTCTCATATTTTTCACATTGAAAATTGTGGACAAATTAATTTTTGGATAGTATTCTCTCCTTCACTAAATTGTGCTCCTTTTTCTCACATTGTGTTCATATTGGTGCTCAATAGAGTTTTCCAGACAATCAGGTAAAGGAATGGAGTTCAGTGCATATTCACCCAGAAATTACTATAGTTATAATTTTAAGAAAATATTAATTTGTTGTGAATTTATGTAGTTCTCTGATTGGCTCGTTTAATTTGTATCGAAACATGCCTAGACTAGATGCTGAAGATCTTTATGTAGTTCTCTGATGAGCATGCAGTTGTCATACAATGCCACTGTTCCCTCCTTTGTATCCGGTACTTGTAGGTTTGGGCTTAAAGATGGATAAACAAAACAATACACCTACCCTTCTTTACTTGATATAAACTGTAGAGGAATTCATTTTGCCTCGGTACAGTGAAATTATTACCTCGAGTATCTAAACATCTGTTTTAAGATGATGAAAATCTTATGAGAGGGCTATGCAGAAAGCAATCAGTTAGCTTATTAGGATGATTGCAATACCGATAACCAGTCTTTTAGGAACATGTCTGTGTGTTAGCTATAATTCTAGATCGAATAATCTGAAAATCAGCACACAAGCAAGCACTAATGCTTATTCTTGTTGATTAAATTTGCATGTTTCCACGTGACCTTTCCTTAACTATTTATTACATCATGTTATACACATAAAAAAATGTGAAATCCTCCTCCGAAACAGCAGGGAGATTTTAGCACTGTATCCTTTAACCATTCTCTTTCTTATTTAATAGCGACTCTTTAACTAGCATCACTACTCTACACTGGTTGTGTAATGTTCTAAACAAAATGCATGTTTTTTCCTAATAGTTTTTCCTGATCATGTATATGAAGCCTTAATTCAACATAGAGAAAGCATTAGATTTAGCTGCTATCTTGCGTGATAACGTTCCAAGGTCTTACCTCCATGATGATTAATTGGCTTCGTTTGTGCCAAATGTTTTTCTCAGTGGTGAGCTGATGGATGATGCAATGATCCTACCATGCGGCCACTCTTTTGGAAGTGGTGGAATGCAGCATGTTTCCAGAATGGTACGTCATAAAGACATGTTCATTACTCTACCATCACAATCAGTTTAAATGTTATGTAAGAAATTAGAACATTGCTAACATGCTAATATAAAATGCTAATCTACAAAATTTGCATTGGAAACATTGAAAGTAGTCATAGGATATCTTACATGACAGTAGCTAAATGTCTTTCAAATTAGAAATAACCCTCAACAATGAGTTAGTTATGTTTGTGAGAAATTTCCTGAGTGCAGCTTTATAGTAGATAGAAATGTGGCATTTTACCATTTTCTAATTGTGACGATTGACATGTCAAACTACATGCTCCATGAGGGAGGCATCTCATCGCCACCGTGAAGAACCCAGATTTAAACAAAGGGGAGAATCCAGATCATTCTCCTCTCTTTTGTAATCAGGAAATCCAATTGTAACTGAGATTAAAGGAATACAAATCAATTTTCCTTCGTTTCTTTTACTGCAAATTTTCCACCAAACAGTAGTCACTTGTGTAGTGTTTTTGACCTTATACTTGCATTTTAGTTTTGCTTCAATACTACTTCATGTTGCCCTTCCAACACTTACAGTATGCTGTCCTGATCTTTCACCACTCTGGTGAGTTTGATTTTTTGAGGCACTCATGCCATATCATTTTAACAGACTCATTCTTGACATGTTGATGGTAATGGTTTCTCAACTAATTTAACGTGTTGCTCTGATACCATGTCAAAGGTTCATGCAACTACAATACTCCAAAGTTGTGGGTAACTTTATACTCTAACAAGATGGTTGGTACTTGATTAGACATTTTGACAACTTGACCAGAATGGAAAGTCTTCTTGACATCTCACTTGGCCTTTAGGGACATATGCAAGAAACACTGTGGTGCTCGTGCATTCATCTAAACTTTCCGTATATATATTACTTTGTGCTGCTTCAGGAAATCCTTTAACATCCCTAACTTGTCTAAATTTTAAATTCATGTGATCTTGGATGAATACAAAGTTCACTCATAGATTGTATGGGGTTTTTTGCTCTACCAATACATCAAGTCTCACCACTTGGCCTTTAGGTTCATATTTAAGAGTATCCCACTCCTTTAGTTTTCAGTAAGAGCTTGATACAGTTTCATAGAGGGTTAGTATTGTAGCTGTTAAATACTGGTTAGGTTTAAGCCATCATCGAGCCATATGACCATCTAAACATATACTTAAACTGCTGCTAAACACAGTTTTGCAATTTCAGGCATATTTATCGCTTCCGGAAGGAATTGCTACTGCTGCTGGTTTGATCGCTATGATGACTGACCACTACAATATTCTGGTGAGATTTCATATCTTCCATTATTTGCTTGGATATGCCTTTGGTTGCAATATTTACCTTTGATTCCTACTCTGGATCGTATTTTCTCATTATGAGTGTTATCTTACATGAACGGGTGAGCAAAATTTGGACCTCCTTACCGGCAGTTCTTTGTCTAACCTGAAGACTATAATATTGGCACGCAGTGTGATTTCATATCTTTCATTATTTGCTTAGACATGTATTTGGCTGCAAAATTTACCTTGGATTCCTACTCTGGATCATGTTTTTCTTGTTACAAGTGTTATCTTACATAATCAGGTAAGCAAAATATGGACCTTCTAGCAGTTCATATGCAAACCTCAAGACTATTATATTGGCACACAATGTGATTTTATACTCTTGGACCAGTCTTTATTTTCAAGATGGACGCTGGTGGGGACTCTATTAGTGCCTGAGCTGAATAGGGTAAGAAAGCCACCAAATAGTGGGAAAAAGGGAACGAGTTTGGTCATCGCACAGTCTATACTGATGTGTTTTCTTTCTATTCATTTTCTTTTTTTTTTGAAGGGAAAGGAGTTAAGTCTCGACCATTCATAATCAGCAATGGGCATTTCAAATTGCGATTACTTTCTGTTCATCCAGATTTACACTGAAAATCCCTAAAAACATTGACTGATATGGTTTTTAGTTTCTTGCCTATGCATCAAGTGGAAGCAATGTAGATGGTTGAGAGTAGCAAGTCAAATGCTTTTAGGATGTTTTGTATCTTGCAAAATTTCTGGGTAAGAGGTTTCAAAGTGCTAGACCATAATTGCATGAGAGTTTTCAAAGGTTGCGAAAACTGACACTATCCATATATTTTTTATGCATAACTTTCTTAAAGCATGGCAAAATTTCAGTCGCTAGAGGATCATTGGTGTTATAAAGGGACAAATTCTTTTGTTTTTACATTTATATATATACTTTGTTTAACATTAGACTGTAAATTGGTAGGAAGGCAGTGACAGCGAGCATGAAAGCAATGATGTAGCAAGAACATCTCGCAGACCACAGAAGCGTGCTCGGGGTAAGTATCGTCTCATGTCAAAGGGTCCTGATGGTCCTTGTCCAGATCTGTTGCAACTTCAATCTGCCTCATCAAGTTATGCATGCATGTCTTTATTGAAGAGGAAGCGTTCTGGAGGTAGTGTAAAGTATTCATATAAATGAACTTTTAGCCCATTCATTATTTTATTTCTGCCTCTTTAAGCTTCACAAGAATCAGAACATCAAAAGCCCTAATCATGTGTCCTTTTCGTTCTTCATTCCATCGGTTACAATTTTCCTCTGGCAACTCAGTCCCACTCTGTCTACCTCATCAATTGTCAGTTACGAAATTGCGAAGATGATTACCCTCCGCATATATTGGTTGACGGCGAGCAGGCGCTGTACGAACCTCGCGGATTTGCGACGAAAAGGTATGAAATTTTCAAATTTTCAGTTAAGAAAGTATGTGTCAAATTTAGGGTTTTGGCATCTAATGGTGCTCTTGGTTTCCCAGTATGCATATTGTTTGAGTTAAAATTTAGTTATTGACAAGAATTTGTAAGAGTGACACCCTATTTAGTAACCGTGGGACTAAATGTAAGTACACACTGTATAAACCCTGCGGATTTGTGAGGAAGAGGTATTTGGGTTTTTAATTTTCTATTTTGTGGGGTTTTTGGGGATTTCTACAAATATAGCAGTTACGAAAGTATATGTGCAGTTTGATAGGTTTGGGTTTTGTGGCATCTAATGATACTGTCGATTTTTTTTCAGTTTGCTTATTGTTTGCGTTAGAGTTTCATTATTAACTAAATGGACCCTAACATACCACTGTATTTTCGTTAGTCCTGCCAATTGATATTTTTCTAATTTTTTAACTTTTCATGCATTATTTACAGGATTGCGTATTTGGAGGTTGCTGATTCTCTCATCTATCAAGGTAAATATTAATATTTGTTATAAAATTATTTTGGTTTATTGGATTATATATATATATATATATATATATATATA